CCCCTCTGTGCTGGGTTTTTTTAATGTTTAAATATTATTATAAATCGAAATAATATAAAGTTTAAAGTTATATTACCTGAAAATTTTAATAAAAAGTAATATTTTTAGAAGGTCTTCTAATGATAATATTGCTGTGTGACCAAATATGAATTCGAACTGAAATAGAAGCGGTCAAACTCTTCGCTAGTCATCAAGCCCCTAGTGTTATCAAATTAAATAAATTTAATTCACATAATAATAAATTCACATCTGTGTCTTTTTCGTACGAAGCAGCTAGACCGTAGGATAGATAATTGTGACAGAACTAGAATACCGTGTTATCTTAAGCCTGTTTAAATCGCTATTATTGAAGCGGGAGAGAGGTTACCTGGGAGGATGACGACTGACTACACATCCAATAAGTAACGAGAGTAGACAATAATTAAATAACCGTTTATTGTTTATGCCATCGAAGCGGCAAAAACAAAATAATAAATAACAAAATAAACTTAATTAAAACAAATAATAAATAACATTAAAAAATAATATAAAAATCAGTTAAATAAATGAATTTGTTGATAGTAGCGAGTGGACTGTATTAAATCTTGTGGTAATGGTGTCGAACAATTGAGTATCACGTGTCAAAATATAGATCCAGAGACATAATGGCAGATGAAAACAAACGGGGGAAAAGTGACTACGGTAATGAAGTTATTTAGAAGATTCAAATTATGAAATTTGTGTATGTTGTGCAATTTTGTAGATTTGTTTATTATGCCACTCCCTCCTTCATTACGGAATATTGGCCACGCCACTGTATGTGATATAATATCCACAACCAAATTTTTTCAAACTAAGCTGCGCTAAACTATAGACATTTTAGTTGTTGAACGCGGTCAACATAATTAAAATATTAACAAAATGGTTTTTTACGAACAATTAAAAATATAATCATGTATTAATATTCTGTATACACATTTCATCCTTCGTTAAATGAAAATTTAATTATTTTGTAAAAATTTAATTTGTGACACTTAAATACTTCTCCACTTTTTTAGCTTTGAACATTAAGTTATAGTAAAATATCTAGAAATACGTAAATTTAACCAATATTGATTTTATTTAGATATTTATAATATTTAAAAGATATTAACAATCATTAGTTATTATAAATTTGATCTTAAATATTACAGAGATCATTTTTATAATAGAACATTAAGAATCGAACTTATTCGTAAAAGAACTGTAATGGATATACCCTCATTTCTTTAGCCGACGAATGGGCAAGAAAACCAGTATAATTGCCTAAGACCCGAATTTAAAAAATTGTCTGAGGTAACTGAAAAGCAAAGAAAATTGTCTTACTTAAAAAAAAAAAAATTTATTATAAAATTGTTATGCAAGAAGCAACACCAGAAGCGATTCTAGATATAATTTTTTTGGAAATGGTATTGAGTAAAGTGGACGGCTGTTACTAATAAATTTGCCGATTAAAATACTTAAATAAATGAAATAGTTTATACCTCAACAATTCCTAGCCCTGACAATAAAACATTTTCAAAATAACATCCATTGAATGTATTGAAAATGTTGAGTAATTATTCTTTTATTTAAACGTACATAATATGCCTGTTACTAGAGATTTTATATTCACTAAAAATATAATACAGTAATATTTTAGTCCATAATTAAATAATACGTAACATAAATTACAAAACAATATAATAATATTTGGAATTATGTGATGAGAACATAACAGAACCTTTTTCATTCAACTGATTTTGTTTGATATGTCGCAAATTTTTTCTAATCAAGTCATATACGAAAAAACTTGATATTTAAAAAATTATATTTCCATAAAAATTTAGCAATATTTTTAACTATAGCTTTGATATGGTGTTTTTAGTTTGGCGTCACTGGCTCATTTTAGTTTTGCAGAGTTTTCATATTCATTTTTAATGTGCTACTTTTTATTGCCTCTATACAATAATAACAATTTATTAATTGCATAATCATATATATATATATATATATAAAATACAATACATTAATAAATAAATTATATAGTTTTAGTGGAAATAAATTTAAAAATTAAACAGTATGTGCCAATAAAATAAGATTTAGTATTGTGGGAATTTTCCGCATTTTGGCCCCAACTTTGACTTATAATATAATTTTAAGGTTTATAAATTATAATAGTAAGGTGGCTAATCAAAATTATCACTTCAAGCCGAAAGAGATGATAATCAGTTTTACCCATGTGTACCTCATCATTTCGGTTATGCTGTTTTTGCTGCTGTATAGTTTCACGCACTCGGTAAAAATGTAATAAACATCATCATTATTTCATCGTAACGGCAAACCCTACACACACGCAATTATACGACCGTTATTATTTTATTCGGAAGACACACTCGAAGGCAAAAACAGTGTGGAAAATAAACTGATGAACAAGGGGTTAATCCGTATCCAAATTGTCGCCGCTGCCGCCTCCGATTTTTATTACTTCAATTATGATTTTTTTCTGAAACTTAAAGGTACAAAAAGGTTGAGAACACATAAAGCGGTTCAAATGGGTTGTGGGCTCAGGGTCTAGTTAACCCTTTGCCACCGGTTTTTATGGCGTACGAGTTGCATACAGGGACACTGCTGCAACGATAAAAAAATTATCAGGTGCGCACTATGTACTGTCCCACCTGAGCTCGGCAGAACGCTCGTTTATAGCCCCGAGCAGAACAGTTGTTTGATTCATCTCATACCTTATTACAGCCATTGTTATTACTATTATTGTCATTATATGCGCACACATACCTATCCAATTAAAATACCATTGAAATTATAACATAGATTTACTACGATGGTGACACGTGAGTAAAAATTTGACCACATCATTAGTGAAGTCATAGAAATGTTCTGAAATCGATAATATTTCTGACTAACCAAATATTGTGGAAAATTTAAATGATTCAATCAATAATTATTTTAATCTCCGGTTTAGAGATTTACGGCTAAGCTCGCATGTCCAAGAAAATAGTAGTAGGGGGTTAACTAACACTAATAAAATGAAGACAGATAACGATATTATATGGAACTAGCCGGGTTAAAACTATTTAACCATAGAAGTTATTGAATCTGTAAAGTAACAAATTTAAATTCAACTTACAGTGCAGTAGATTGATACAAAAAGGTAAGTCTAAGACGACTGAAAGGAAATTTTAAAGTATCAAAAACTAGAGAGTGCATTGGCCGCCAATGAAATGAAATGAAAACAATTATTTCTAAAACAGAGATGTATGATCATTAAAAAAATGTTGTTGTACAACCCTAGGCAAATTATGTATATAATCAAAAATATGTAACTTTTTTTCATAAAAAGTAATGTTTGAAAATTATTTTATTTATATAATTCTACGCGTTTTTTTATGAAATCCGCTAAATTCTGACTGAACATCTCGCAATTTTACCGCATAAATTATACGTTACGCGTGTACTTTTATGTGTTATTGCGTGACAAAGTACTAAATTACGATTAGAGTGTATGAACAGAATATAGTCCTGGAAAATTACTCAGATGACTGATTTGTGTAATGATAGCGTATTGTACTTAGGTAGAGCAATTACACAACACACGCATGTCTCGAAAACAAACTCACGTATGGACGACAAATTGAATTTTGTATAGTCTATAGAATTGCTATATATTTCTTTTCAAACCAAATGAAAAATTTTCCTTGGAAACCATTTAAGTTTACAGTATCTAAATATTATAGTTTATTCGTGTTTTTAAAATTATGAATAAAGCCAAAAATCTATCCCCGACTCTTGTAATCCATCCTTTTTATTTTACCATTATACAAAACAAAATTTTTCCCTCTTTTCTCATCAAAATCAATTCCCGCCCGTCATGTTTAACAAAAATTTTTATATCAATAGAAAATCCTTAAAAATTATAAAAAAAAACCTATTGAAATATTTATTGACAATGTATTGTACAAACGTCAAAATCTTTTGAATGAAAAACTTTGATGACTATAACTTCATTTCAAACTAAAACTATTGAAAAATTAAGTGGATTTCTTAGTTCTCCTCTCTCAGTAAAAAAAATATTATTATTACTAAAACGTTTTACGATTTTGATTTCAATTACTGTCAAATTTTGTCTGTAGCCTGTAATCTGTAATATACAGATATATATATATACAGTGGTCAGGAAGTAAGGAAACAGGTTTCTATTGTTCTCATTGTTTGTAACAAGTAACCTATTTCCTTACTTAGTGTATACTCTGCAAGTTTATATACATAGTTTATCGTACGTCGAGTTCTAAATAACTAAATGGTAAGAAGTTTTGACTTCAATGCAAATCGGACCTGGCGATAAAAATCGCGTGGATTCGTAAAATCATATTTTTAGGACACTTACAATAATGTACCTTATAGTTGAACCTATTTTCCCCTTATTTAGTAATATGTTCAACCTCAATAAGGGTTATCTTAACTGTACAAATCTATTTCTGACAATGATTTGTTATGTAGAAAATTAAAAATATCAAACATAGAAAATTTATTTTTTAAGTAGTGGTGCACTTAAAACCTAGTTTTTTTTTGTGTACGGAGTGAATCAAGTGTAGTGGTCGAATACAAAAATGACAAATATTATACTTACTTTTATTTATTAAGTTCCTTACTAAATACTACCTAGATAAATTTGAAAATGGATTTTTTACTTAATCATATTACAGAGTCCATAGATAATATAAACTAAGCTAAAATAAATAGATACTTCTACAAAATTAATTATTGGCGTTAAATGGCTCGTAATTCATTTTTGTTTTGATGTCTTACAAGTTATAATAAAAGCAGCTAAATTGAATAAAGTTCTATCACCACCTCTAAGTCATGTGTAACACTAAAAACATGAGAGCTAAATGGGTATATGGAATGAAAATGACAAGTTTGGATGATAGAAAAAAATGAAAAATTTTAAAGCTTGTTTAGATTTTAAACATTTTAATAATACCTATATACACACACATTAACACACGTATAATAATAGTAGTAATACAATAACAATATTTTTTACTAATTTAAAGTTTAAACTAGATCATACATTTGATACAACTGATGTACAACGTGGTCACAATAAGTAACATTTAATTAAAACCTATGTTGATAACACATAGATTGCTGCTGAACGCCTACATAGAATGCTGTTGAAACAATATTACTGGAAAGACCACATGTGCAAACACCGTCAGTCACTAATCGACACGGTGAAGGATTCTTATGCTGTGGTGTTGTTGGTTTCAATATTTCTTCTATGGTGTAAGGAGTTCTTTGTTTTTTCAATCCTTGCGCCGGTTTACTTGTAGACGAATCTACTAACGAGCTTAATATTTGATCATTTTGATGGTGTTGATGAATTCGATCATAGTACAAATCTAAAAAAAAAAAATTAGAAATTATGATTAAGTAATCAAATTGTAGCGTTTAAACAAAATATCCTAACGCTATTTATTTTTCGACAATTAATTTTTTATAAGTAAATTTATAAAATCGTTGCTCTCATGCCAAAAATGTACAAACCGCAATATCACGATTAGTAGTCAAAAAACTTTTAGTTCTGATATAATCTAGCCAAAAAGTCAAATCCCCTAATATTTTGATATCATTTACTGTAGTACTTTATGATTTAACAGTTGAAATAATTTAATTACATTAAAATGAACAAGTGCATCGTGTAGAACGTAATTATTACCATAAGAAGTTATGTATAAAATTGACATTTTTTTGAGTTACTACACTAACATTTGGTATAAAAAGTAAAATTAAGATAATTTACATAACAACCTACTATATGTATAGTTTAGATTTGAAATTAATTAATAAATTCTGTACAAGCAATGGCGTATCAAGGATTTAAATGCACTGAGGCAGTTTGTATGTGATACTCTCTTTAAATTGTTTGTTGAGCATGAAAAATTCTCGCTTAAAAATGTTGAATTTTACATTTATACCCGAGTTTTGTCGGTTTCATTGGCTATGACCCCCTAAAAGACTCAGGTTGCCTTTTTAGTTGCGTCCTGAGCCAGCTGCATCAGGTTCCTATATGGACACAGCGCTATTAATAAGATATTATTATTATTTACAAGTTAAATTATACAGGACAAAAAAATATATATATTACAGTTTACAATATTTAGATTAACCCTCTATGGAATTTTGTCTTTGATTCCAAATCTGGTTTCAGAATTTTCCCATAAAATTTAGTTTCTGATCTAATTATTAATTAAAAGACAATTATACAATTAAATTGTTTGAAAAATATTAAAAAAATATATCTTTTTTTAACTCGCTAAGTTTGTTTAATCATATTATAAAAGAGTTGTACGAAATTTGGACCGCTGCATCAATTTTAACTTGATTTTTTGAGCTTCAATTTTTTTGATAATAATACACATTGGTCAAAATATTAAGATTAACTTTACACTTTTTTTGATTTGATTCCCAGTTATGAATTTATAATCATTAAATAGACGATTTTATGATGATTTTAATAATATTACTTTTGGTTTTAATGCGTATTTAAAAAACAATATAATTTCTGATAACAGAAAAATATGCCTAAATATTGAAATTTTGTAAACTTTTTTATTTTTTTTTTTTTTATTATAATAACTTTTCCATCATAGTTATATTTAATATAAGTTAATTTGTCTTTCACAAATTTATGTATATATTTAAACTAATTATGGTGGTGTAATTAGATTTCAATTATCTTTATTATTTGTTAAACTATTTAACTAATTACAAAGGAAAGGTTACAAAATAATAATAATTCTTTTTTTGTTATTAATTAAAATTTATGAATTAACTGTTAATGACTAAATAAATTTATAAAATATATGAAGTAAAACAAAAACAAAATATAATTTTATCAATTTGAACAATTAAAATAAAATAATGTTCAAAACAATTAAAAAAATTTTTAATTTTATGAATTTACATAAATCAGAAAAGCTATTATTTCTAAAAATTATAAAAAAGACGCTTGGACATTTTTGATATAAAATCGAATATTCACTTATGAATTGTTTAAGCCTTAAAAATATGTTTATGTAAAATCGAAAATTAAATAAATAAATTTGAATTTTTAATTATCACTCAATTATATCGTTTTAATAAAACATAAGATATCATAGTTGATATTTTTAAGTTATAGAATATGATAAAGCTTTACGGAAAAATGATAATCAAGATTCATTTTCAATTAGAAGGGAGAAACAATTATTTTGAAACTAATTATTTTGTAAAAAAATCTACAGTTAAATTTAGCAAACTATATAAAATAATAAATACGTTTTCATTCATGAGATTTTTAAATTACTCTTTAAAACCCCATCAAATCATGATTATAAAAATCAAATTTTATCAAACTATTAAAAATATTTGTATAAATAAACTAATGCAAATAATACAATATGTTATATACACTATCAAAAGTAAGAATTTAAAAAACAATAAGTCTTAAGAAGAAGTAGTACCACTCTGCAAAATGTACTAAACTTATAATTTTTTTAAAGATCTAATCTATGGTTCAACAATAATTTACCAAAAGGATGCATCCAAGGAATATTTTGTACCATCGATTGCATATTGGACGATCCAAGGGTTCGGTTTATAGCATCTTGTTTACATTTTGGATTTTTTTTTGAAAAATTACCATGATTAAACTGTAAAAAAGTTGATTGTTTAATTAAAATAGTTAATGTCTATTACTAGAATAAAAATCCTAAATAGGTTATTTTATTTCATTATAGTGAGTTAAAATCAGGACTACCAAAAAAACATTATATTAGGTGAACAAACAAATTCTTTTTTTTAAGTAATATTATTTAAATAAAAAACGAATAAATGTCTAAGAAATATATAATTACAAAGTTATGTACTTTTACTAAAGCGAGATTCATATGTCAATTTAATAAAACAGATCTCTTAAAAATAATGTACAGAGTGATTGTTATCTATAAATCACACAATATATAAAAAAAATAAAAACATAATATTATTATTATTTTTTAGAAGTTAATAATAAGATGCTTATGCTCTGTGACTTTCAAAAAAAAAAAAATTAACCCAACCCAACCATTTAACATTTTATTAAGTTCAGTTGTTTTAACTATGACTCGCATAGTATCTTTTAAAGTATAAAATATAATTTATTTTATTTTTTCTTTCGTAAGTTAATAGTATCAAAACATTCTGTATTTCTTTAAAAAATGATCCTATTCCCCCCTTCCCCTTTATAACTTTATTTAATTAAATGATTTAAATGGAATCTTATACGATTAGCTAGGTAACAAATAAGAAAATTACTTAACTAAGAGAAAGGCCGATCTATAACAACCTTTGAATCAGTATTTTGAAGTCATGAACATTTTAATATAATGATCAGTGGTATAATATAATACTTTTATCTAATTACAATATGTTTTATAATTTTCGAGACATTACGTGAGGCATATCACGTAATGTGTATACCTTATTTTTCTGTAAACCAGCGCCACCAATTGATCCAGGACGTATTGAGCCCGTTTCATAAAATCTCGTCAATATTTTCGAAACACATCCATGGGAAACTAGAAGTTGTCTGGATATATCACATGGACGTACGCCTAGCAGAGCTAACTGAACGATTCGCCTTCTGACATAATCTGGTAAAGGACGACCATTAACGAAAACTCCACCCAATTGATTAACACCGGCTTGACCTAAAAATTATAATAAAACAATGTTATTAACAATAATAGCGAAGAACAATGTCCATGTAAAATAAGAAATATGTGTGGATTTTTTCGAAAATATAAACACAGATGTATTGTTTTTATGTTTAATGTCCTCTCAACTTAGAGAAAATGGACTCTCAGTGTACAGAGGACTGTATCGAACTACGAGGCCTTCACATCAAGAAACATGACACGTTACTGACCGAGCCAACAGGCCGCCCAGTGTACATATACATATACAAATGTACTTACTGTTCGATAAACTGTTTTTCTTCTATGGTATTTGAGTGAAATAAAGAAAAGGATTTTCTTATTTTAAAAATAAACCGTATAAAAAACTATTTTTTATGAAAAAATATGTTACCGAAACAAAAGTAGAGATTTTCTTTTAGAGAAAACTGATATCTTTATGGAATTGTAACATTGTTTTTAGCAGTTGTACGCAAACACGTTCGAAAATTAATTACTTAAGAAAGGGGGAAAACATTTTGTGCCAACGTTTCAACCAAACACCGTCAATATTATACAATAAATCAAAACTCCATTGTAATGCAATATTTAGAATAAAATTAAATAAAACTTTTTCCATTGAAATCTCGGTAGTTATTTACAGTGCAAAAAGAGCATTAAAAAATGCGAGTGTACAATAAAATCGTTTATTTCCATTAATTTCTAATAAGTACAAGCGTATCATTTTTGTATTACTGAAACATTTGTTTTGTCGGTATCATTGTTTTTCATTAGACTGTTGTGAAAGAATCGATCTTACGTTTGATACTCGTTTTGCACACGTTCGTGTCAAAAATTTGTATGCTCCCAATTTGATTTACTAACGTTTAGGTATTGCGGTTGATCAAAAGGAAATTCTACATTACATGCGACATAAACACGGAATGTCGGATAGCGTGCACAGGCCAACACGCGTTGGCGGAAGACCCCCGGGCGTTCCTGGGCGTATCCGAGTGGTAAAAATTATCCGACAATATCCCTGTAATTTTGTAAAACCACCGCCCATTAACACCTTAATAAAATACAACATGTGTGTCGATTCTGTTCCGAGCTTCTGTTTTCATCATTCAACAATATAAATATTATCTCCTGTCCGCAATTCAAGTACTTCAATACGAACCATACATGTATAATTGAATGTAACCCACACGGCGAAATAGTATTTTCCGTCAACACACACTACAACGCACATATATCTCCATTTCGTTGGAATTAAGATAAGTGTTATTAAAATCCAACAATATCAATTATATAGTCCTTGGACCACGAGAGATTAAGATTGTACATAAGATTGTATTTGATAGACCAGTATTATTAAAAGTATATCTGAATGATATAAATCGGTCAAACTCAAAATGATTTATATCACGAAAACACGGACGCAGAATTTTACTACGTGCCTAATTTCCTAATCATCTAAACTCACTACTTAATTATGATATAAGTGCATTGAAATACTGAAGCGTTAGTTTAATCACCTGAAATACTTACTTTTGATTAATTGTAAAACACTATTTTTAAATCTGCTAAATTTAATTATACTAATTTTATATGTCTATATAAAAATGCTTATACGATTTCGTTTAAATATTTAATAATTACATTTTTTGCATAGTTGTAACCAACTGTTAAATCGTACAACTAATAGTAAAAGCGTAAAATTCATTCAAATTAGGTAACTCTTTTATTTTTTTTAAGTCCAAAAGTTTCATACAGCAAAATCGCATTTGTGTTATTAATACTTCAGTTCTCTCTAATAATTACCATGACTTTTGACAATATTCAAATCAATATTTTTTTGAGAGGATGTTTTTTTAAAATAATAAAAGTTTTATCAAGTTAATTTTAATCGAGAAAATTTTTAACCATTGTGTTTCAAACCATATGAAATTAAAAATAATATATTATTTAATTTAACTTAGTCCTTCTAAAATGAATTATACAAATTAAAAAAAGTGATATCATGCCCAGCGTGACGATTTTTTTATAATTAACATTAATGCAAAATTAATCCTGAAATGTTATCTGTGAATAAATCTTACCAGTATGCGGCATATCCAATGTTGAAAACTTGTTGAAAAAACTGTACCAGAAGAATGCAATCCTTCTTACACTTAGTAATTCACTATTAATTGTTCTTTATCTTAAAATTCTGTAAAGTAGAAATGAAAAAGTAATTAAAACTGTAGATTCGTCTAATTTTTTAAACTTTATTGAAATTTCTTTTTAAGTTTCTACTAAAAAACTCAACCTATCTTAATTTCATGCTCAATATTATCCAACACATTATACAGTTTTATTATAATTATCAAAGTTTTTTCAAAAAAAAAAACATGGTTATGTTTCACTTAAGCTCGTGTGCTTATTTTTCACATAAATTCTAATTTTGCGTGCTCTAAAAATATTAATCTCATTAAGCCAATCGTTCGGTGTGTGCATAATTCGCATAGATATTATTGGTCGGTTATAATTTGTCGGAAGACACTTGGCACGTTGGGGGTGTTAAGTGGCCGTGAATAACAAACGAACGCATCCACAGTAACGGTCCGGTTGGTCCGTAAATCCCGACAGCATGCCACTGTGCGATGCTCTTCGGACCGTATCATTGGTATCCATGTGCTGAGGCAACGCTTCTCCCAAGAGACACCTTTATCGGAAGAGCAAACCCGTTGACTTTTCAACTATTATTCCTTTTTATTATTATTACGGCCATAATCCCGTGTATGCGTATGAATATGAGGACACGCGCGGAATCCTCTTCGTTCCCTGTTTGCATCACGGATGACCTGTTCACAATAATGACGGACGGTTGTAGCATAACGCATCGTTCCATGTCCCACAAAACGGACCGTCGCTTCAACCCTTATCTCCGTCGTCATTTCATTCTGGTGAGACTAACGCTGGTTAACACGTTCCAATAACCTTATTCCACCCTTTTGACGACCAACAATTATTATTACTTTTTTAGTACACATTTATGATATACTAGAAATGTAGAAATTTAAATTATAGTTATTTATTGATTTCGTACAAAAAGTTCGATAAAGTATAAATTATTAAAATAATAACTAAAACAATTACAGAACGATTCTCTCGTAACCAACCACTTATTTAACTAAAAAATATATATGATATTGATAATTGATTCTTTTTTTTTTTAAAAAAAAACTTAAGTTACATACTTTTCTCAATTCATCAATTATAAATTATTATCAATATTTTATATCTTATAAGAGTGTCAACTTAATTTTTTCAAATAACAACATACAGAATTGATCAACTTATTAAAAAGCTAATGATCTAAATAAAAAAATGACTAATCGATAACAACTTTTGAATAATAATTTGTAAATAAATAACGTGTTACAGTGACGGCAGGAAGAGTGTTGTTATTTTTATTAGTAGTCATTCTAGCCGCACTCTTCCTACTGATATTTAATGCATCCATATATATATATATATATTTGATGGACATTTCAAAAATAGTCCTATCTCATTTTAGAGTTTATCTCTGAAGTACAAATATGTACTTTCGCAAATTTAGTTTGTAAGTAAAATACATTTTTTAACATGGTCTTCACAATAACTGCAATGCTTGAGCGTTATCCTTCTATTAGCTCTGACACGGACCCTAATGGTAAAGTATATAATATAATATAAGTAATACCCTAATGGCACCAGTAAGGTATGTATCATATAGAATTTTTAGAAGAATAAATAAATGGTGAGTGACACATTTACAGAATATCATATGCAATTTTTATGATAATACATTTTTTCGACATTATTAAACCTATAAAATTGAAAAATGTTGTATGGGCGTATTTTATGCTGACAACTTACACAACTTAATATAATTTTCAATAAATATAACTAAATAATTTTTCCAATCAAAGGAACTCTCATTTATTTTAAATTATTGCATTTTATTACAACTATTATACAATTAATTGGAACATTGAACGAACAATAACATAATGAGCTATAATTTTATAGTGTAAACAATACTCATTTCGAATATCCCAGATGTTTTATCTCACTTTTAAAATTATAAAGATTCTGAATATTTGCTCACGAATATTAAAAAAAGTCTTCATTCATATTAAATAACTTTAGACGGTTCTGCATAAAAAGTAAAAAAAAAAGAGATATTTGATCATTCGTTAAATTCGTGTATTAGGTCGTATAACGACAATATATTAAATAGCTTAAATAAAATGACATAAATATAATTTATCAATTTTTAATTTTTAGAAAATAATAATAAAATTTATATTTAAGTTTAATACTTGATAGTTAATTCATTCAAGTTAAACATTAACGTTAAAATAGATTTTATAACATTAAAAATATAAACTTGACAAAGAATCTATCGATGACTGGTAATACAATTATTNCTGGGAATCTATCGATGACTGGTAATACAATTATTAGCAGGTCTGTTTTTCAATGTCAAAACATATTAATTTACTATTTATAATGCCATTTATGAAATGATATTTCTTAAAATACTCATTAAATAAATAAAGTTATTATATGTAATACAAATGATTGTAATAAAATAATAATTATGCTGTTCAAACAGAAAATCTCGTGTGCTGATCGGGACGGATTAAATTTTGTTCAGTCATTTTTTCCATTCTTTTGAAAAAAATATTTTTTCATATCACTTTGCAAACCGACATACTTTCAGTGATTATTTATCGAATTAATCAAATAAACTAGCCTAAGTCCTAGATGACGAAATTGTTATTAAAAATTAAAAACAGAAATGCAACTTACTTGTGTTGATAATAAACTAATACGACATTACGTTTGAGTAAAGCAACGAACACATTTCCGGTAATCTGAAGTGTGACTGATCGCAGACCGTAAACAGCTACAGCCACTTGAACGAGTGTTCAGGTAGTCTTAGATTTCTTTGGCGAAATGGATACGATACTGAGCTCCGCCCATTTTAGGGGGCTACGGGACCAACCAAACCTCGTTCAAACACGCCCGTCACGCGTCACCTAGGATACCACGGGTGGGTTTCAAAGGGCTTCCCCCCACTTCATGCTTTTACAACCCTTAAGTTTACTAAAATTTATACATTTATTCAATTCATACAACACATGTTGTGTACATTTATAAACTGCCTTTAAACTCAATAAATCGATTCATATTTTTTTTTTATTATACGATAGAACTTGAAATGTCAAATTTTTTCACAAAAAAAGATTATAATGAGAAATAATTAGATTTATTTCAGAGGTAAGAAATCGCGGAATGAGGCCTAAGACCAGTTTAAGTTTACAAAAAAATTACTAATATTCAAGTGTCAAGTTTTTAGTGAAAACTTGTTGCTAAAAAATACTTTTGTAATTTGCTGTACACAAGCCATTCAGATCAACTAAACAAACCAATGGAAGTAATATTCAAATCATATAAAATAGTTTCGACTGCAAAATGGGCTATAAATTAAACTTGAAAATATATTCCTCTTAATGAATTTGTTTATAGTAAGAAACATTATTTTAAATCAAGAATCTCAACGAATTACTTATTTACTTCGAACTTAACTAAACTACATAATTTATAATAATAAAAAAGAATCAACAAACTATAGTAGTGGCGTACCCAGAAAGTTTCAAGGGGAAAACTAATACCAAAACAGAAACTTTATTCACCTTTTTTTGGAGGGGGGTGGATTTTTCACCTAAAATGTTGTCCCAGTATAACCAATGACGGATGATAACCTTTTCGGTCCCCGAATATTTTTTAAAGAAAAAAATCATAACTATGGATAAGACGGTGTAAAAAACCTTCTTTTTAAAATTGAAACCAAACATTTTGATCTAATGGTATCCGATTTTATTTAAATTTAGGACGACCATCCTAAGTCCTGTTTTTAGCAAAGCGGTTATAAATAATTGAAACTGTTCGCTATGATAATGACGGGTTGATACGTTTTTAAGGCCAATAGTTCAAATGTTCTACTTTACCTCTTAATTGTCATTTGATACACTCACTCATCTATAGATGATAAACATCTGTCAGAATTTCCCTGGCATCAAATAAATACTTTATATGTATAATTAGGATTTTTTCACCCCTTATATTCTGTCTACCGCCATTTTCATTTTTAATTCCCCACTTCTCCGTTTATGTGCAAATGATATACATTTATGTTTAATTTGCCTGTGTGCATGTACAAATATAAGTATTTTACAGTAAATGAAAATTGAACAGCGATGTCATAGTGATAATTGCTACCTGTCGCTAGTTGTGTCGTTATATATTTTGTTCCACAACACGTACAATAAATATAGACTACTGTCCCCTTTCGTTTTATTATATATAATAACTGACACGAGCCGTGTTTTTTGTGTTATCCTGGACAACCGCAACGTGTGCATATTATTATAGTTACTCGTTAGTCTAAAAGATATCCTATTAGATAACAAACCATATGGTTAACCTCCCAAAAAATAGAAATTAACGTATTCTTAAAACATTTCAAGGAAATCGAGACTACACAACAACCTTAAATAAAAATGTCGACTAAAAAAAATTTTTTTTAAAAGATAAATTTCAAGTAACGTTTTTTAAATCTACGTTTAGCATTCAAACATATTTAAACATTTATTTTTTTAATTAATCCGATTGGCTAACCATCGTATAATATAGTGAGAATAGTATTTTCACAAAAACAGTCGACTTTAAAATACCTAAATTAGATAAATTTTAAAAATGTCTCAATCATAATACCATTAAAAAAAGTTTATAATGTACATTTTTAACTGCCCAAGATTGGAAGTTTATAAGCCGTGAACGAAAAAAGATTATTGAATAAATTGGATAATTTCGTTTAAGTTCTTGAATGTGAAAAAAAAAGTTTTCGATAGTGGAGCTTATTCGACGTAGAGATACGGGTGATTTTGATAAGTCAATAGATGAAGTAAACGTTAAGCTTTAGGTTTTAAGTGGTTGAAGTATCAACAACAGTTGTTTATAGATAAATATTAATATAAGCTTGTTGGCGGATTGCCAGGGAGAGAAGTGAAGGTAGTCGAAACTAAAGACGGAGACTTAATGGAGTACGCAAGGCCTGTAAACGTTTGGCTCAGTACTTGATTATACTATTACAGCGGATCGCGGGCAGGATTACCCGGTGCCACTGCAGTGCGCGTGAAAGTCCGATATGGCGTACAGGATCCCCATGGGGCGTTGCGCTGCTTCGGTGTCGATAACACATTGCTCGGTACGCTTGACGTTGACTTTAATTGGCAGTTTTACTGGCACACCCGCCTACACACCGAATATAATCGCTCGTCAAATTGAAAATCCACTCTTTTGAAATCAAAAGTTGTGTGGGACGGTGAGGATGCTGGAACCCCAAACCATCATTATCATTCAACGACATTGTTGCAAGTATTATGTTTGTTATCACATAAGAGTCAGTTTTCAATGCGCGTGTTACATACGCGATTGAATTTTTCGATTTAAACGTTTTAAATTAATATAAATAAAAACTGCAGCGCAGTGTGGACGTTATGGCAGTTATGGCGAGTATAGACGACAGTTACTAAAATCACTATCGTAAGAAACGCTTCCATGCAAATTTGTTGATTGTGTTTAATTTTAAGAAATTGGTAGATTATTTCAAAAACAATACAAACTCGAATTCCCTTCATTAAATCCTGATTAGTAGTTCTTTGATTTATAAGTATCATACATGAACAAATACTTATTATAGTAACACAATTTAATGCGAAATTCATGTGTCAATAATGATGTAATTGTTACGGAGAAGTTATAAAAAATTATAAAGCAGTTGTATATTTCGTTACTTCTATGGAAAACGTCTAAAAATTAAAGGGCTTGATGCAAAACTTTTCAGAAAATAATTTTTTGTTATCTATAAGTAAATACACTGATCTACAAAGAATTTTCATCAGAGACCAGAATATACTTTTTTAAAACCACTTTAACGACGATTTCAAATTTGAATTAGAAATTTTCTAACACCTCTTTTTGGACATTTATGTACTGAGAACGATTCGTACATCTTTTAGCTTGTCCCGAAAATCAACATAAAGTAAGTCTTGGAAATCGACTCAGCGATACCGATCTATACAAATCTCAACTGCTGGGCTATCGTTTTTTTTATAATTAAATTTATAATTGAGTTTAGAGTTTTATATCTGTAAAATATTCATATTTAATTTTAATTTTTATCATATAAAAATAAATCTATTTTGTTTGGCCCAGTAATCATACATCGCATTTGTTGTAAATAAAAAAGGTAATTTAAGATAGTTCAAAGTTTCAAACTCTTTTTTCTCGATTTATTAAAGACAAACAATTTAAATAAGCTTAACTTTATAAGTTAAATTCATATAACTGTTATGTTAATCGGTTACAATTTTTACACAAAAAAGTACTTATATCTTCAACTTTAATGTCCGTTTTCACCACGAAGACATGTTCAGAGATATATATATAAAATATTTATGAAAAAAATTTTATTGGTTCAAATATTTTTCAAAAATTAAAAATAGTTTAAGATATATAAAAGTGTCAGTATTTCCGAATATTTTTCAAAAGTTGATAAAGCTCTCTATCAAAACGCGTGTTTAAAGTTTTATCACGTATGTACGATGAATGGGATATATAAAATTTATATTCTATTGGATATATAAAAAGTATTTGCACAAAACATTGTATTCATCTGTACATTTTTCAAAAAGCTATAGCAATATGAAGTTAAAATTGTAATTTTTGGGGGTATTATTCCCATTTACGGGGAACGAGGAAAATTTTTTTTATTTTTGAGGACAGTGTCTTCTAAAATTTGTGATTTTTGACGTATTTTTCATCAAAATCAATCCAATTATAGCTAAGAATAAATGGTCACAGATACACAAAAAAAGACATATAATAGCAAAATTAATACTTACTCAGCTTGTGTCGAAGCTAAAATATTGGTACTATATAACTTAAACGTCATTTTTTTATTTATTAAACGACCAATTTATCTCAACGTAACGTCAAAAGATCATAAATCGTATGTAACTGAAGATATAAGCCTCAAAAAAGAAAAAATGTTTCCCTTGTTCGCCGTAAATGGTAAATATCCCCCCGAAAATTACGATTTTTTAATTCGGTAAATTTCTACATTTTTTTTCTAAAAATTGACATTATTTTTTGAAAAATGAACAAATCTAAATAATTCTTTTAAATATAAATACATCAGATATTTTTATTTTATTTAATATACATTTTTTCAAAATCTGACCCTTTACTTGCCCATAGGGGGGATTCAAAATGACAAATTTTACTCAAAAGTCAACTTTTTCAACTTAAGTTTTAAAAATGTTCCGGAACCACTGCATTCTTAAAACATATGTCAAATTAAAAATTATGTTACGTACTAGAAGTTCAAAAAAAAAATTTTAATTAAATAAGAAAAAAATTATTCTGGCGACCTATCATCTTTATGCAAATGATTGTCGTCGTTAAAAAACATGCCGTTTGTGTTCAAATTTTATTACTTTTTTTTTTTTTTTGTTTATTTTAAAATACCTTATAAGGGTTTTCCATCGTAATGATTCCACCAATAAATATAAAATTTACATGAATCTAACTTATATTAAATTTAAATGTATACTTATTTTGATTATTTTGCCTCTTCAAAGTTAAGAAATTAATTTTTGGAAACTTGAAAATTTGTATAAGAAGTAGAACATTTTCAACTTAACTTTTGAAAATCTGCGTCTTTTAAATATATATTAAAATAAAGCTTATTTTATATACTAGAAGTTCAAAAAATAATTTGTACCGATAACCTATTTTCTATGTGCAAATGGCAGTCGAAGTGGAACAAAAATTAGAAGTGAATTTTACTTTTGGAATAATCCGTTAATTTCTTGAAATTAAACACTATCTACAGA